TTATTCTACAGATATAAACTGTATGCATAAAAGTTGTCGTCATTATGCGTCCGAATAATTTAAAACTCTCTAATTGTCAACAATACTCCATCAACGGTACTATTGGAGGTGTTGGTCAAAGAATACTCTATCTACATTCATTAATTATTTAGAATTCTGTGCATTCCATTCTTAACTAATGAAAGTAATAAGTGAAATTGTGGAGAAAAAATAAAGAAAAATAATTTGCGCAATATGTGAATGGTTTGTGCAATATGTGGAACCAATTCAAGAATAAACATTTATATTTGATCCTATCAAAACTTGTCGCTGGAATGTACGAATACTTGATAGGTTTACTTTTAAGACCTAAACTGGATTCCGTTTTTACTACCACTGAATATAAAACTATCTATTTTATTAAAGAACGAGGAAAAACAATTTTCTTTAAAAATAATAAAAAATATATATGTAAATATTGAGTTAATTTTCTAGTAATTAAGTCATTATGTATCACATACATAACGTACTGATACTTCCGCGAACTTTAACCAAAGACATTTGGAGAATCTCACACTTGACTTCCTATGTACGATGTTACTTATCCTTTTTTCTCTGGTTTTTACTCAGTGGAATCGTGAGTGAACGAGAGTCACGCATGGCGTAAATGTAATCCTAATGAATAGCTATGGCAATTGGAATTATCTTAAAGAGCCTTTGTAAGCCGGAACTGCTTGGAAAGCTCTCGTTGGTAAATAGAAATGCATGACAGGAATCATTTGGATTTAAAAGCTTTTTTTCATGTTATAACCTGATTTTTTTGCTAATGCTAACAACATACCTGCAGCTGTAAAGAGAAAAGAACTATTGTGTTTGAATCATATAATCTATACGAGGATAGAGAAGTGAAAGGCTCGCGATAATAACACATTGCAATACCTTGAAGAATATTGACGTCTGATTTGTGTGAATGAGTATCCCATAGTTTTATGTCAACTTTTGTTGACGTTAATAACATATTTCAGCTTGGGTTGTTGGCATGGTCGTTGGATTAGGTATGATCGATGAACAGACGTGCTTAAGATTCAGTTGGATGTTCTTTGCACAACTTTAGGTATTAAAGTGTAACAACGTGAAAAAGATATCCTATCAAATATATTACTCCAGAACTACTTATATTATTATTTATATATTTGGTATGTAATATGCATATTTCCTTTCTATCTTTTGAATTATTTTTAATATTAACATGAAAAATGTACATAACGGAAAATGATTTAATTATTTTTATGTTTAAATATCAGATTACTACAGTAATATAGGAGAAAAGAAGTAAATTTATGCTAATTAATTTCACGGAGAACTAGAATATTTATATACGGTTTATGTACTCGTGAAAGGATTATGTACCAATCTCCAGCTTCTTTTCAAGTGACTTTTGCTTCATCTACCATTTCTCCCCAACTAGTTTTATCTTAATCTCAGGGCAGAGTATCAAGGTCATTCGTGCTCGATGCTAGTCTACGGATAATTGGAAAAGTGAGTGCAAACGGAAGTTGTTACGTGATCTGATAATAGATGGAATCAACGATTGGGAGTAATCATCAAGTTTTTTTTCAATTAAATCTGGATATTTTGTGAAAAAATAATAACTTACATGTAATCTCAGAACAACATGAAAAGTTTATTCATTTTAATAATAGCTAATGATGTAACTGATAGTTTTAATGCTAGATTGTTCATTTAAAAAAATGTATTGAATAAAAGTATTAACAAAAGATTTCCTGAAAAGGAAATTTTCAATAAAACATCAAAGTTAAGCAACAGAAATTATAAATTTACAAGAATTAAATTAAAAGTTGAGCTTCAGTTTTAATAAACTTCCACTTTACTTGGAAAGTTCACATATTTTTCGTCACAAAAGAATCATTAAACATTAATATCATGGTAGAAAATAAAGAAAAGTCCAGATTAAATTAAAGTAAATTAGTCTAGTAGACTTTTTTTTATCATTATCTTTGCTTGAGGCGTTTTATTTTTTCAAGTTTAATTTAGTTTCTGTGACCTGTTACAAGAAAGAGCAGAAAATCGAAAACTATTTACTCGGATTGAGTAACCAATGAACCATTTTTAAATTACTGACTAGAAGAAGGAATTTCTAGTAGAAAAAAATAATCATCATAATCATTAAAAATCCTAGCCTAAATAATTTTTTAATTTATTTAAACCAGCGATAGTATTCAAAAATAGCCTATCATTATAAAGTGTAATTATAAAAGTTTCCATCTTTAATTAAATCCAGCGTAGTTAGAAATTAGAAAAGATAGACAGTGGAGTACTGAGCATCTGATACAATTGAAGTTACCTGAATCAGTAGATATATGTAATCTGTCTAGTCGACGGTTAAATTCGGCTGGATAGGTATTAAAGATAAAGAGTAGAAAAAAGAGAAAAAGTTAAAATGAAAGGAAGCAAAGAAGAATTCATGAAGAGACTGACGTTTATCGTTACTTCTACGTTGTCGTCGCGGTCTCTTTGACCTGCTTTCTCTTTTCCCACCCGATTTGTCTTATGGACATGCTCAGCGCGTGTTTTCTTCAACCGGGAAATTCACAGAACTATTTTCGCCACCTGTCGCTCGACCTCGCTACCAGTTAGCAGAGTGTGGACTCTAAGTGATACTTGATGAGAATAGGAAATAAAAGGAAGCAACATAAGAATTTCTTCCTTCCACGCGTGTATGTAACAAGTCTTTGCCCCCAAGGAATACCAGATAAGAAGTAGGTCGGCCACTTGTCTCTTGAGATTTTTTTTTCTGCTTCTCAGTTGCAAACACTCTTTAAAATTATTCATCTTTAATAGATAGCCCAGCTTCTTGCTTGGCATCAATATTCGTTTTATTTATATAATCATTAATTTATTGTTTTTCTTAATGGGCATGGATCTTCACATTCCTGTTGAGTCATCACTCGTGGGTACTGCAAGTGATAGAGGTCATTCTCCTACAAACATACCTACTATGTGAGAATTGGGACACTTGATGACTACTTTCACTTATAACACTATTTAAATTAGACTGTCATGCTTGAAATACACTTAATATTTAATTACAAAACTTGATTGATTTTTGCCTGTATTAATACTTGAGATATGATGTAATATGGGATTGAGTGTTTACATAAGAGCGTTCATTGACAGAATCACTGATGATAATAACAGGTAGCTTTTTATGCATTGTTGAAAATTATTGAGTAAAGAAGATATTTATTGCTGTGGTGTCAAAAGCTATTCACTTAAATTTATGTCGAAAGTATACTTGATTAAATATTAACTTTTCAGACTGTTAGTAAAAATATTAATAGAAAAAATACATAAATGTATACTTAAGTAGAAAAAAGGACAATTGAATTATTGTTCATTGATGTGCAAACCATGATATTCGGTGGGGCAATTTCGAAAGTTGTACCTTGCGCCCAAAATTATTGACTCTGGTTGTTGAGTGCTCACTGATTAACACAAAAATTGACGCCTACTTACTTTCCCTTAACTGTAAGGAATGAATCTTGACAGACTACAAAATACATTTTCTGAGAATCTTCAGGAAATTTTTGTTTTCATGCTGCATTGAATAAATAATGTCGTTTAACAATACGTTGATAAATGATGAACAATTTGAATATTTACAGTTGAATACTTTGAAAGGAAAAAAAAATAAATATTGTAATGAATTTTTACTCTCTTTAAATGAAATCGAGAATGACATTTAGATTTCATTTCATGTTTCGTTGAGTTTTCTGTTTGAAAATTACTATCACGTGTGCTTACCTCATACAAGGAAAATTGTTCTACAAATTCTATGACTGTTGCGTGTTTTTACTCACATCACATTTTTCTCACTTGTATTAACTGTGAGCTGATTTTATGATTAACATTATCCTCACAGATATTATTTAAAAACAATTGAAATAATATACCTCATTAAAAGTTGATGTATAACATTTAAGATTACATTTATGTTTTATAGTATTCTTTAGTTGAAAAATAATTTAATCTTTTAAAATTCTTTTCAATTGTTTTTTTATTAAGAATAAAATTATTACTGAGTCGTTAAAATATTTATTTTACTACAAAAACATTGATATCAATTTAAGATATTTAATGATAATTACTGATTTTGTTTGTATAAATGATTATTAATAATAAAATTTAGGACAAAATATCATTATAACCTCTGGCGTCATTTATGAATTTGGGTCTGATCTGGTCACGACTTTCTGTATTGGACTTTCTACGTAAATCAAGTTTAATTAACCAGTTCACTTGACCTGAGATGATGCTGATTCAAAAATATGTACAGCATAATTTTGGGAACCAGTTAAGTTTCACCTACTACTCTAAAAAGTTTTTCAATTATTTACCAGAGAAGAAAGCTGGAAGGAAAATCGCAAAAATTATTTGACTCTGGATTCCATATGCGGAAATTCTATCATTCAAACCGTAGATGGTACTTGAATAATTTTCTCATTCTGTACATGTGATGTCGTTCTATTGAAAGTACCGTTATGTTACGATTTGTTCCGCATTGACGAAGCTATCGACGATACCAACAAGAGTGTAACAGGTTCACATATGTATACGCAATGCTGAAAGAACCCTTTAGAAATCATTCTATCATCAACGTTGTAATCTGAACACTCGTTGACATTTTTAACTGTAAATTTATTACGCTCTACGATTATGTGGTCACTACAGAACATTACCATGACATTTTATAATGCTCCATAATTTTAAATAATTAATTTTCTGATAAATTCATTTAATTACTTCAACAATTAAGTAATTTACTTACTTATCGTTGCTTAAATAAAACATTTTCTGATTAAAGCAACTGTTTTAGAAAAGACGGGATTTGAATCTCTATTTCTACAAGTTAATTAATCCATTATCAACCACGTACACCAAGTTTTAAGTAATTAAATCCCAAGTTAGTGTATATACAATAACATTCAAGATGTATTTACCTTCGACGACGGGTTTTGTAGAAAAGTCGCAATCCCAGCACGAACCCTATTCTTGACTCCACGAACAGTTCCCTTGGCACTTCTTATGGCTTCTTTATCAAGAATCTTATATCCGGCGAAATATTCTTCCACCTCATTATCCTCAAGCTTTTTCCTGTTTTCTGAATCATCATTATCTGGTTGAAGTTCGTTAATATGAAACTTGTAAAATCTGTCATCCTCATAGAGATATTTTGTTCCGTTGTCACGATTGTAATTGGCATAACGCTCAGCCGCTGCGGTCTCTTGCTCTAGCCGGTCTTGTTCTTTCTTTCTTTCTTCATATGTGCACTCCTTCACTACTGGCGATGATGGTTGAAGTCGTCCGTTAGCCAACGGGTTTGGACTTGGCATTGGTGGTGTTGAGGAAGTCGACTTGGACAACGAACAAGTGTTGGATGAAGACACCAAAGTACTTGATGATTCTCTAGTAGAGCTTGAAATCATGTCAACTGTGCTTGACGACTTCTCTTGAATCTTTTCGTTCTTCTCGTAATTCTTGTTAACGTCATTTTTATTATTGTTGTTAGTACTCAGCCTGATACGTTCAAGCTCGTCAGTGGTAGCTTTCAAATCACTTTTTTCACACACATCATCATGTTTTACTTGCACGTTAATGTCATTGCTTGACAAGTCGCGTGACTTGTCGCATGATACATCATTATCATTTTTCAAGGTAGACTCGATGACCCTGGCAGCAAGTTCACCACTGTTGAGTGAATCACAACTAATACTACTCTCATTATCATCGCTATCACCTTCGGCGCCACTACTTGTAAGGCTTCCTGTTCGATTATGTTGACCTGGAGTACTGCTGAGGACTATGGTACTGGAGTTTTTCTTTTTAGGCAAAGGAGGTGGAGTTCCATCCAAATCACTACAGGTACCACTGTCCAGAGTATCACTAGGAGAACACTGACCACTGGACATGATCATAGTAGAAAAAGAATTTTGAAAAGGTCCATAATAGAAGCATGTATTTGAACGGTTAGTATTATTAACACTTTCAGTTGAACCTCGTTGAACCATTTCGTCACGTTGCTGATTACTCAACTGATGATCCGCTTCATTTACAACACTAATACGCACGCAACTTTCAATAACACTTGCTCCACCGTTAATGACGTTCCTCGTATTCACATTTGTGGTATTGTCGTGTTTGATAAGACACTCGACCCCGTTTTCGTGTAAGTTTGTTTCATCTGGCGTCAAATGAACAGTTGATATAACTCGACTATTATCGAGTTCAGGATTAATCTTAATTTTAACAACATGTGCTGGCTGCTGTTGATGATGCTCTGATGTTCTCTGGTTGAGACTGCAGTTGTTGACCGATTGCACTTTCGGGAAGATGGTACTCCAGCCTGGAGAATCTGCTTTCGAAGCGCTGCCTGCTACGTATACCGTTGCTCCGGCCTCTGAGGGAAGTTGCGAGAAAGTGGGGGCAACGGCCAGACCTGACACAGTCTGTCTACCACCTTGGCTTTGATGACAGACTTTGCCTGATGGTAGTGTTGATGAAATTGTCATTGTAGTTACTTCATCCATTCGAATTTGTGAAAATTGCTTAAGCTATTAGTGCAAAAAAATGTGCATGTGTTTTCGTTTTAAATTTATTTGTTTTGTCTTTCATTTATCTTTGCCCACAGGCCTACATAATTTTGTTGATGGCATTCCTGGAGAGTTTTTAACGTCAAAACGTTAAATACCCGTTAATTTATTTTTCGAATAAAATATAAAATTCCCCAAAAGCCGTTATAGGTAGGATGGTTATTCAAGGACATCTATTCTGAGATCCGATCAAATATGTTAATTGAGTCGGTAAAAGTTCCAAGTGTTAAATATTATTGGATATTCATTTACAGAGTCCAAGTTATTAACGATCTTCTCTACCCTTTTCTTATTTTCTTCTTTATTTCCACTTGCTACATACGTGCCTCTAATTATGCTTTTGCCGGCTCGACTGGAGTCTGAATAAATGAGAAACAGCGTAGAGATAGTGTGTATAATATTTTAAATAACGCAGCGCGTAAGCCAGCTGCGAAGGTTGTGGTATGAGTAATTGCGAAAATTGTCTGAATTATTAAGGAGGTAGGTGATTGTTTTCGAATTGAAATAAATCTTTCAATACACGTCAGCCACGTTAACTAAACAAGTTCACACTGCTGTTATAGTAATTATTTTATTATCAAGTTCACTAATTACATTTACACTTGATTCCCATCAATATTAATAATGATGATTCACCATAAAAATTCCAGTTGTAAATTTTTTCATTCTGTCAATTGAACAGATAATTTTAAATTGGAATCTCATAAGAAATTGGAGGGGATTAGCTCTTCTCGAGGTAGTCAACACCTGTTGCGGTGCAGGTAAAACCTGATGTACCAGTTAACACAACACTCGCCTTCTTCAGACCGTCAGAACAGTATATACATTCACGAGAGAATCCACGCTGTGATTGAAGAAACACGTTCGCAGTATGGAGCGACGCTAACTGTACTGAGTACCATCGACAGCGTTAACGCGGCAGCCTTCTTCAAGCATTGGTGGGGCCTGGTAGATAATACCAGTAGAGAGGGAAAATGGGTCTTACGAGTTGCCGCAGGCACGGCTATCTTGTGACGATCTCTTAGACTTTAGTGGCGTCCTCTGCCGGACCTTGTACAAGGAATTTATCCGGTTTCTCATTTAAATACTTGTCCATCATTGTGACTAAATGATTCTTACAAACACTAGTCAGATGAACAGCCAGGATAGGAAGGTATGCGAGAGAGTATCTGGGACTTTAATGGTATACCACAGGCGTTACACCTGCCGAAAAATTCATAGCTTTGCCTTGAGGCAGGAAAGATGATTATGGTAAAAGACATGATGGTGAGAAAGATCCTTCAACAATTCATACTGTCTCGTTCTGCCTCGGTGAATGAACAATGCGGAAGAATAGGTACGTGCTAGTCTGCAAATACCAATCCAATAATCCTAATTTTTTTCAATGGAAATTATCATCACGTAAGTGATTATGATACTTACGATTAATACCCGACAAATATTACGATGTGAAAACCAATCGTGTAATTATCAATATTACAAACTATACTATTTCATTATTACACCTAATCATTAGGTCCTGACGTGCTTGAATTTATCACTTGACTTAACATGAAAAGGTTTTCCAATGATTAAACATCATATTAGATGTTAAGTGATTACTACATCTTTATCAAAAAGATGTTAAGGATATTATAGGATATGAAATATTATTAATTGGCATACTACTTTATCCTATAATTTTGAGTCAAATGAATGATTTGCCTGTCATAATAACAATGTAAACAAGTAAAGGTCATATTTTATACATTTTAATGTGCAGTTATGTAGCTTGGAGAAATTTTACACAATTCTAACATATTAAACAGAAATTTTTATATATTATATTCGAAAACATCTTTACATTGTGCATGGAACCAGCAGATCAAACAGGTTTCATTGCACTTTTTTTTTTGTACCTCATCGCTTTCTGGTCGTACTGGTTTCATTGGTTTTTTTCTCATTTTCGATATCTTTTTATATTTAATATCAAACCATTTAGTCTTTAACAATCTTTATTTTCAATTTATGTGAAATGAAGTCAATTTTTCTATGATAGTGTTATGAATATTTGATCATTTCAAAAATTATTCATTCATAAAATAATATTGGCTTTTATCATTTACATAATGAAATTGTAATTGATGTTAAGTTTTTAAGTACCATCAAATACCTTATAAATACCGTTACTTGACTTTGTTTCTATACTTTTTTAATTACTTCACAATTTTACACGAATATTTTTTTTTTTATTACAATGTCATTATTTTATATTAAGATAAGCAAAATTTTTTTTCATTATTGCTATTGTAAATAGAAAGTTTTATCGTTCTTAACGGACTATTATGACCTTTGACATGTATTTATGTTTATGATGATAATTCCCTTTCTCTTGATAGAAACCACACATTCATAGGATCGGATTTGCCTTTCATGGTCACTGGTCCCCGATATTCTAGTAGAAATTGTGGATCCTGATTTTCAGGCATGCATAAATACCTGAAATAAATAAGACGATTAATCAAATTGAATTAAAACCTATTTAATCATAAATGTACTTGATAAAATAAAACTTGGATTTATATTTTATTATGATCGTGAGAACGAGAAAAATTATCGTAATAAAAAATTAAATGTATGAATGATTTTTTTTGTATATTTCAACTTCATCTTTGGCCTAACATTAACTCACAGAAGCCCTTGTACGTCTACTAAGCTGCTAATTGAATTAAAGCCCTCGACCTCAACGGGTTCTTCCTTGTTTCTAAGCGTTGTACTTTATTCAAAACGAAAGAATCGTGAAAAGTGTAAAACTTCTACTTTCATTTTTTTCATTGGTGTCATCAGTTAAAATATTTCCGTTTTAACATTCAATAAATATTTATTTATTTTTCAAAATTTCAGTATGGAAGTGGTCATAGATTGTTATTTTGATGAATTATTTGAAGGGATGGAACGAGACTATCTTGTTTCAAGGCACAAAAGACGACAATTAGTTAAATATATTTCTGATGTAATTAATAACTCGGCTCAAGGTAAATTTAACTTTTAATTAAATAAGTCTCTCATTCATAATTGAATTGGCTCAGTATAATGTGATGTTGAGAATCGTCAAATTTAATGTAAAGTAATGGATAGAATTTCATCTGATCTAATTACTTATTCTTCTTAGCTGAAAATCTTGATACCAGTGATGTGTGTGAGCGGATAGTAATGTCGGCTTTACGTTACCACAATATCAGCATGTCAGAGAATGGTTCGGTGTGCCTTCTGGGTAAATTCCACAACGTTTTATATGTCGCGGCAAAACTATGTTATGACTGGAACCTTACCAACAACCAAGTAGTAACACGCCTGCTTAATGATATTTACTACTGCGAAAAGACTTTCGAAAGGATTTTCGTGGGTGCAATTTTTGGTATTAGAGTAACACATTTTCTGTCTGGTTGGAAGAGTGATTTTGAAGACCGTGATGAAAATATTCGAGCACTGACGTATTTTTTAGATCATGCAATAAAAGGGAAACTAGAATATAAAACCTCATCATCATTAATCAAACGACGTTTTATTGATATCCCTATGGAGTCTTATGGTCAGGTGTTACCTCTAAGAGTTGCAATTCAACATGGTGCACCAGACATTCTCCTCGTTATGCTACGTTATGGAGCTTCGACTGAATCTGATAAGCTTGCTCCTTCACCATTAGAAATTCTATTGACTAAAATCAATGAATATGATTTTAGTCATGAAGGATCAGTACTTCCTAAAAATTTAATTCTCTGTTTAAAAATACTTTTGCGAACTATACCAGTAGCATGTATCAAAACACCTGATCATATTGCTAATCAATGTGGAGTAACACAAATGACACTTTATGAGCAGTATCCAATTTTAGTTGAAAGGAATTTAGTTCCACCAGAACGAAGTGGACTTACTCCACCAGAACTTCGACATTTGTGTCGATGTTCAATCCGTCAACGTTTATTTGAAAATTGGGCATTACCTCATGGTATTAAATCTCTATGTATTCCAACGTGCTTACAAAATTACTTGGACATACTTTATGATTGAAAAGTGTGATATTTTATGTAACATTTTGGAGTGATTGCGAAGATTTAAAACTTTTTTACTGCACTGTGTGATAAACTAATATGTATCAATAAAATATTATATAAATTTTCGAGTGTTTAAATGAATTTTTATTCTTTTTTACTTTCCATTAGAATGTTGCTGTGTAAGGCTGAGGTCAATATTCTTGATGCAATTTACACAAAATATCGTAAGAGTTATTATTACTGGTTACGAAGGTGCTTTAAATTTACCATATAACCCACATTGTTCTCCTTTCACTCTAATTATTTAGTTGAATATATTTCTATCATTGTAAGATTAAAAATATAATAAGTTTCATTCTAAGTATTGTTTTTTTTTACTAATTAAAAATTTTTCTTGTCTATTTACGAATGACTAAGTAGCCTCAAGCATTCAAAGAAAAAAACCTGACACGTTGAATATGCTGAGCGTATGAAAAAGTGATTCATTATCATTCTATTTTTGAATAATACGAGTAGAGCAATTACTGATTGAAGTTTGAATGAATATTAAAGAAATATAACAATCACTGAAACTTTCTTTTGAAATGATAATTTAGAGTCTTATATGATATGACAGTAGTTGGATCTTACACTATCGCCTTACTTCAAAAGCTTTGAAAATATTTCACTATCCAATAATTTTTACTTGGTCGTTTAATCTCATGTTTTTGAAGTTAATATACTTTTTGTAAGAAATTCTTCCAGCTTTAGGCTATAGTGTAGCGGAAGAATTTTAGAAGAGTTTTCTTCTCTCCTTAAGCTGTTTTTTCTTATATTTGATGGCTCTTAAGTTAACAAAAGTAAACCGAGGCGAAAAAAAATTACTCTCAAAATGTATAGAAATTCTTAGGAAAAGATCCAATTTATTGCAGATTTTCTGCTAAAAATAATATATATTCCTCGTTTTAGGACACCATTTTTTATCAATTTTTTAAAAAGATTATTGAAAAAAAATGTTTTATTTATTTAAGAAAATTCAAACCTCCACTCTACATTAAGTAAAATCTTCTTAAAATAGAAGTGAATGCTTTATTTACTTGACTTTTATAATCTTAAAAGTAGAAATGATTTAAAAAGGAAAACTTTCATTAGTAATTCAATGCTAGATAAAATTGCCATCCGCAAGGAGTTGATTTTTAATTGGGAATTTTTTTCTAGCTTTCTATAAATAATGAATAAAAAAAATGAATATTTACCTATAAGCATCCTCAGAAACATTTATTTTTCCGGGCTCTCCAGTTGTTTCCGTTCTACTTGTGAGGTTGACGGTATTACCAAATAGGCAATAGCGCGGCATTCGATGTCCGATCACTCCAGTTACAACCTCACCGCTGTGGATACCGATAGTGATTTTCTACGAATTAATCAAGTACTTAGTTACGGTAACTCTGATACGAACTGGAATAGGTCAATACATTTTCTCCAATATATTTAATTAAACAGTACAACGAAAAGCATGTTCGATACTACAACTACAACAAATATATTGTATTTCATGATCTCGTAATTTATTCAAAGCATGAGAAATAAAATAGGGAAATCTACATACCACTGGTTCACCATCTATTTGAACTTCATCAGCAGCAAGATCCATCATGTCTAGGGCAAGCCGTGCTATGCATCGTGCATGACTATGACAAGGCTCGGGTAACCCGCTGACCGCCATGTACTTGTCACCAACAGTTTCCACCTGCAAACACGAAATAAATTATACACCACATTAAAACTTAAGTTCCACGTCTACCTAATCTTATAGACGCTAAATTTTCATAGCATCAACTATTCATTTATTTCAACAAGTACCTTGTAGACATTAGGGTTCTTCTTTGGATCAGTTAAGACATCAAATGCAGTATAGAGTTGATTAAGCATATTAACGATTTTCATAGCACCACTTGAATCAGTGTGAGCAGCACAATATGAACTAAATCCAACGATCCCGGAAAACAAAAGTGTTACACAGCCGTATCTTTTAGCTGGTACTGGTCTCGAGTGTCTCAACTCATTGGCTACAGATATTGGTAAGACTGAGTAGAGTAATCTGTTAAAGGAATTCAATAATCATCAGTAATGCATAAATATTAACTTCACTGAAAAGGAAAGATAAATAGTAAAGTTTTAATACCTGTCGGTTTTTTGTTTCTCTCCGTCGAGTTCGCGATACGTTTGCTGTAACTTGTCAGTTAGGAGTTCCAAGTTTCTTGTTAACTTATAATCTGCTTCAAATTGTTCTGACATCAAAACTAAATCTCGTGTAGCATCATGTAGTGGTACGTCACTGAGATAAAGACCTCGTCTACAATTCAATATAATTAACATGAGTATAAATTTAAACAACGAATTCATCTAAGTCAGTTATATGATTTTACGAAAATTAATAAAGTGAATTTCCATTTTAATAATAAAATACTTAATACTTATGTCGACAACTACGACATAATGAAACTAGGGAAAATGTAGGTAATGGTATACTTTATTTACTTTGCTTAATAATACTCTGTTTTAAAATTTTAAAAAATGGTTTTAAAGTTAAAAATATAATATTTTAAACCTGATAAAAAACTTAACTGTGATTTATTTCATAAAATATACTAAATAAAATGTGAAAATGAAGGGATTTTTTACGGTAAAACCAACAAATCCTTCTATATTTCTATGTGAATATTTTAGCTTTTACATCCTTACAAAAAATATATAAAACATTCTACTTATTTTGTAAATAATAGCATCATGGTATACATGTATACGTATCAAGTTATCACGCAAAGCACTTAACCCTCATCGGGTAACAAATGACATCACCAGCAACAGGCACTATAATGGAGCTTGATGCATTTAGCTGTTTAATTTGTTTACCAGCGTTCGCTTCTACTTTCATGCTACTGCAGTTCCTGCTAGTTTACCTATCACCATTTACAGAGATTCAGGTTTGCATTGAAGTATTTTTTGCGAATGAAAATGAGTGAACATTTTTTTGCTCAATGGTATTGCATCACTAGAATGTAATATCTTTTAGATCAAAATTAGAAGAATATGTTCTCGTGATTATTATATTCTTCTAAATTGCTTCTAAGTGTGTATGTGAAAAAAAACTAAACGAGAAAAATTGTATAAAAATTAATTATTTAAATTTATTCAAATAATTTTTGAAATGATAAAATAATCCATGAAAAAACGACGATGAGAAAACTTTCTCTTTATAATGGTTGAACGACCATTGCGGTCCATAGATATTTGCATTAAAAGAAAAGAAGGTAGTAAATCTTAAGTAGTAGAGAAAATAAATTTATTGGAATGATAAACAGCTGGTGACTTAGAATTATAAATTTATAAGTTATTGATCAAATTAACCTAAATAATAGAAGAAGTAGTAGTTAGTAATTAATAATCAAAATTACCTTGTAAGATCGTCGAGATTCATCACGCTTGGATAGCATAAAAAGATAACCAAGTCTGACTCGGGTATATACAACATTTGTCCCTGCAAGTAATATAGGATGATGATAAGTAGCGACAAGATAGAATATATTAAAAAGTTTATTGAAATATTCAAGAGTCTTATCGTTGAACCTTCAAACGAAGATTGGAAAATTCCTCCGAGGCTTCAACCCTCATCACTCCTTTTTTTGTTTTGAGCACGTAAACAGTGTTGATGTGAGACAATATATTTTCGAATGTGAGTTCCAGATGTGGTCTCACCTGAATAATAATGAAAAATAATGGTTATATTAGCTTTTGTTATCACTTTCATATAGCTGGGTTAACCGATGAGAAATAAGCATCAATCGATATTTGACCTCCAAAGTGAGGTCCAAAAGAATTCCTTGACACGGGTCAACTACAGTCCCGCCCCTTTATTTTTACTTGAACGATATTGTGCCAATATTTGGAAAGTTTTATCTCTGCTTTTGTGAAAGCATGATTCACGAGGGTTATCACTCAAATTTTGTAGCAGAATTGATGCAAATTACCTCTATAAAGATAAGTCAGCAGCTTAGCAACAATGGATTCAAAGGATTTCCAGTATTGTAAACTTGAATGAACTCACAAGGAATATAGGTGAAATGGAAATGTTATGAAATAAAAGATAGTGTGAAAAATATTTCAAAAAAAGTTTACCGTCAATAAAATGTCGTTTAACTTGCAAATACCACTCGTAACTTGGGGTATCACCCTCGTTATTGTGCATCCTGTTTGTACAATGGTTAGGTCTCGATCAAACATCAGGTGAAATGGAAAAACACGACAGAAGGTAGCTGGACTGACTTTTGGTTCTGCGAAAATATGTTGACATTGATGATGATTTTGTTTGGATCATAATTTAATTACGTAGAAATACTAGATCATGTGAATCAAACTCGCCAATTGAGAGAGTTTCAAGCTCAGTTGTCATTGGTTTTGTCATCGTTCCGGATGGTGTTGAAGAATCAGTGATGAGAAATTGCACATGATCGCACTCTTCTTTTGTTTTCAATATCTGCATATCAACATCCGTTCCATGGAGTTTTTTTGCTACTGTCTTGAAGAGCCAATAAAAGAGGAAAAGATGAAAATATTGATTTGTTTGTTGAAAGCTATGAAAAGTAATAGAGACTATAAACTATATGCTTACTTTTACTATACCTATAACAATGTGCTCCAGACCCGGCCGATCAGAATAGTAATGCAGGACGAGGGCACCATCCTCGGGTCGCTCAGTGCAACGGAATGATGGTGCTCTCATTCCGGGATAAAGTGTGCCCAAGTGATCATGGAGTGCATCCAAGTTCTGTAATTATTATTGTAAAAACAACTTGTCTCTAACTACAATTTAAGCTTTCATTGTTGCTGAATATCAATAACATTCAACTAGTATAATTGGTAAAGTTATCAAAGGTTTTATTTCGCTCAGTTAAATTTAGATAGTTGGTAAATTATATTGGGAATAAGGTATTTGCCTGTAAAAAATCTCTGGGAGTAGCGCCAAGCACTTGAAGAATTTTGTCATATCCAGAATCTTGACAGAACTCAAAAAACATCCGACCAAAAAGTTCGAGTATTTCATTTGCAGGTATTTCTGAAAAAAATTCAAATTCACGAGATTATTGGTAAACTCGTTTTTTACCTTTTTTATTTTTATTCATAACAGTATAATGACACAGGTCGACCAAAAAGGATATTCTTTTAAAATAAAAATATTTTTTGTTTTTCATCGAAAATTTTTTGTCAATGATTGAAAAGTGAATTAACTTAATCCCTTAATTCTATTTTAAAAGTTTTAGAGAAAAAAGATTTTTTTAAAAAATTTTTCATCATAAAAATCCGTTATAGTGTGTAAAAAAAAAGAAAAAAATGATTTTTTTATAAAAATATACTTTTTAAGCTCAAACTTCTCTCTACTCTTCTCATTAATTTTCATTCTATTTCAGAATAAAAAATGAATGAAAACGTCAAGTATTTCTCGATTCTAAAATTTTGATGAAGCTCTGTCCATGTATTGCTTCACACACTGATAAAAAATTGAAAAGTTCATTTCGATTTTTTTTGCTCTCATGTTTCTTTCATCTCAGTATCGTACAACCTGTGAGATTCTTTTCTTCTTCTAAATTCTCGAATCTTATCGACCTGTGTTGTCAATGATTACTAATAAAAGATTTATAAAATAAAAGCACACATACTTAGTCGATTGACAGCCGCAGAAATAATGTTATATGTTATTTCATCATCATAAATTTGTCGAACAAGGAACTGTCCCTCCATATTGACAGCCGCATCTTTCCTAAATAAGGAGGTGAAAAAAAGGACTAGTCAGTGAGTGTCAACTAAAGTAATTGATGATATACTAAATAATACTTTTCTATCCCTTAATAAAAATGTTTTATCATAAAATGAACAAGCAACAGCAAAGAATAACAATAAATATTCAGATCACTTGATGGTGATATTTTAAATCTGCATAAAATGTTATTGAAACAAAAGTGGGAAATAAATTACAAATAGTACACGAGCCCTGGAGATGAATGCTTCCTGTGAAACGATGTAAAAGCTCCTAAAAAAATAACTCTTTAAAAGATCTTTGATGTTATTGCGAACACTATACGCTTAAGGATCTTACTCCCGACGCACAAAAGCCATTTCTTTTTAAAATTATTCAAGTGTTTCATGTTCACACTTCAGCCATTCATACTTTTATTCTGCTTTTTATTGTACGTGTTTGTTTTATGCATAATTTTACAATGAACGTTGATTAATTGTTTAATTATTTATGATATTGATTATTTAAAATTTTTTAAACAATTTTTCTATTTAAAAAAAAAATATATATATATTTTATGGTATTTTTTTTTTAATCAATTGTTTTTATAGACATAAAATTTTGATTAACGATGCTACGGTTTTTTTCATTCTCTTCAGAATCATCAATATATACGTGCTTGAGTGCCTTTTTATTATCGTTAGTAATAGTAGATTTTATGCCTTCCAGTGTTTTTTCCTCTCTAATAAAGAGTTGGAAAAATCAATTCAATTCTGTTTCAATGTAATCACTGCATTGAAATGTTATTTAAAACTAAAAAAAAATCGTTGAATACAATAAATACATTTAAATAACATCATTTAGTTTTTATCACCCACATCTCGCTGATATTCTCTCAAGTTAAAAAATTAGTTCTATTTCGTGATGAAATGTTCATTTTAAGCTGATTTTATTTGTATATACAAATAAATTTTGTCCGAAATTTTAAATTCAATCTTAATATTAATTAATGTAATTTTTAATAAAAATTATCTTAATGATAATTATTATTATTATTGCAGATAATTTTTTGCAAAAAGAAGGAGTAAATCTAATTGTGTATGAACTTAAAAGATTATTTTTTTATCTTGAGTGAAAATAAAATTAGACTGATATTTGATATAAATATATTACTTATAGAATTATATTTAAAAAAATTCAATATTATTAACCAAGTATTGAAGCAGTAAAAAAGTTTTTGACTAGGGTTGTGTGCTATGCAGTATATCTATATTAGAATCACGTGTTTTTATGGCTATGTTGTTTTAAAAGTTAAATAACGGTGACCAATTTATACAAATAAACATCAAAAAAGTTTAAAGGAAAAATAAAAATTGATAGAGAGGAAATTTCAAGTTTATTAAAAAGAAGAATCAATCACTGTCGTGGTCATTTGAAAGTTCCATAATCACTATCAGTTAATGGATGTCGATGAAAGAAAGATTACCCTCATTTTTCTTGAGGTGAAATGCCATTTTTCAAGTCAGCGACCAATACAGATGCATAATTAAGAATAATGATAGACTAATTCTCCTCTTCATAATTTTATAAAAAAAATTTTAAAATATAAATAATCGACAAAAAATAATCATGTACACCACGTGGAAATCAAAGCTTGTTTTCATCTACCTAAAATATCTACACTCATAACAATATTAAAATAATATCTTTTTATATTTTATTCTAACAATTACATGTAAAAAGCTTATAAATATTATGTTAAATTATTTGAAAAAATTAACATAAAATTATTACGTACTTTATCGCTTCCCATGTTTCGTTGTCGAATGTTTTCACAACTAGAAGTTCCAGAGCGTAATTCACAAAACCGTACTGTACATGTAATAAAAAATATTTTATCAGTGCAACTAATTTAAATAATTAAATATTTGAATAAAATGTTGAGGGAATCCCACGCGTGGTACAACAGTTTCACGCAATAGTCTATATAACTAGAAATAGCTATTAAAATAACTTTTATTCAACAATAACAAAATATTTTGATACAATAATTAAAAAAACAAAAAAATGTAAAATCTATGAGTAGTCGAAAAATAAAATAATGATGATAAACATACCATGGTTCTCCCTGATAAGAGCGAACTTTGATGCCGATTTATCCGTTACTATTATCATTCCATTGTGTTTGTCATAAAAGCGTGTTTACCTCAAGCACACGAGACGCGAACTGCAAGTGAGTCCGCGGCAGCGGATAAGTATCGATTTTTCATGAGCTCACTGCGCCACCTAGATAGGGTGAAAAGTAAGCTACTACCCCCTCATTCGTTTCCAATCCGCTTTTCCTAACACATCAAACTTGGCTCGACAAAGTCTAGCAGCATTCAAAGTCCTGTTCCACTTGGAAAAATTAATATCATACCAACATTGCACCCACCTTGCATCAAGCAATCGTTTTAACTTTTTAATTCTTACCAACTTATCTGATGTTTTTAGATTTCTTTCTAATTGCTTTTCACTTCTACAAACATTTTCGTAACGGAGATTAATTCATAAAGCATATTATGAAAAGCACAAAAAATATAATAGTACAATTTTTCAGCAGAAAAACGTACCAACGCCTGGTTTAAAATATTAATTTATTTAATTCATTCCTAAGGCATTCAGCTTTTTGCCTGGTTTGCTCAACAGCTATGAATAATAGAGAAAAAAAGAATGCATTATATAAAGCATTGATAAAAAATTATAATAATCAAAATATTGTTTGATATTTTTTATCATGAAAAATAGTGTTTTTGTTGGAGATCTAGAATTAGCATTTAGAGTTAAAGAATTAAGAAACTCGTCTAAAAAAATTTAATTCTAGTCGGTGAATATTTAAGTTTAAAGTACAACTCATAAAGTTAGCGAGCACTTCAGTAATCTATTATTTAAAGGTGACCTCGTTTTGGGTTTACCTTGAGGAATAAGAAAAGCATAGAAACATAGGAGAAGATGAGTACGCATTCATGTAGGTATATGAAGAAACTTAGAAAGAAAAAGAGATTTATGTCAGCAGAATCATTCTATACAATTGTGCTTCCTATTACTCCAACATCTTTCACCACAAAATAGTACATGCAAATATTATGGAGAATGAGGCATGTCTGATTCCTTAAGAATCATTAGAAGACCAATTATGACATTTTTATTAATTATTTTCTATTGTCGAACAAAAATATATTGTATAAATCTAGGTCATATGGGAACAATTTATATTTTATTCTCAAAAGTTATTTCTTAATTTTTGTTTCTGATTAAATCATTCTGGATGAATTTGATCAAGATCTCGAATTGCAAATATCTTTTATGGTCTTCAAGTAATGCAAGGATGTTTCAAATTTAAAATGAAATTTTTTAAATGAGAAAGATATTATTCTATGCGAAAATTCCCTTGCAGCTGTCAGCGGTTAATTTAATAATAGTAGAGGTGTGATAGTCGTTGACGAAGAACTGCAGTTTCAAAGCTGCCATCAGTCGCCTAGTAGATGCAGCTGACACAAGTTTCTTTGTAGTTTCAAATCTGTGGATGGTCTAGACTCGTCAATGAAGTAAGAACAATTGATGGAACTTCTGTTATAGTTTAAAGCTGCTGACCATGTTCGACCATCCAGCACTCAAGCACCAATACAATGATCGAAGTCTTGATGTAAGTGTAATTCTATCAATGATTGACTTGAGAATAATAGATCTGCTTTTGATGTTCCAAGTGCATTACATAATGTATTATATAATGCCTCTGTTAAACCTTTTTCCACTCCAATTAATTCAACTTGATTAATTTGAAATATCTCACAATTTAATTCTAATGATAATTTGATTGAATTGCAAATGATAATCAATAAATACTCTAAAATAACTTCAAAATCTTTAGATGCTTTTTTTTATTATCATACTTTTGAAAAATCTCATCAGTTTGTACATAATATCAAATATTCACAATTTTATATCACTTGAATATTGGGATGAAAATTGTTGACTGTATATTTTTTAGAAAATTAAATTCGATATTGCATACCATGGGGACCATTTTTAGCTACAGGCTTTTTTAGTTGACAGTAGAAATTCAATCTTGTGAAATTCCTATTACAGTGTTTGACCAAAATAAATCCCATCAACAAATTCAATACTCCATAGTTTAGTTGATTCGCAATTTATAGATAAATCTCCGGAAACTATACGAATGAAATAGGTGTATTTCATGAAGACGAAAAAGGGTTTTATCGGTTTAGATCATGAAATTGCTTCGGTGCAATTTCGGCAAAAAACTGAAGCTTAGTTGTTGTGTAGCAACCCAGTTGATAATTACCACAAGCATCATAAGGTCAGTGCTCAATTTAATTACACAAAATGTTCTTGTCTTGTTGGTAAACAAATTGTTTTTAATTATCGTGACATGGTCTTCGGGTTATAAATTAATTAAATTCAATTAAAATTAAATTGAACTATTTAATATATTCTATTTCATAATTGTTGAATAACGGTAAGCCATTTATCTGTAATTATTTTTTGTTTTATTTCAATTAACTATCTTTATTGCTGCTTATTTTCACAATTTTAGTTTTTTTGTTGATGTTAACTCAATTTTCATTAAGTATGTATTTTTAATTTCGTTAATAAAAAATTAATTGTTATTAAGAATAAGAGGATAATTTTTCATTTTCTGAATGACTACAGAAATTTTCTTGTCCCAATTACATCTAATTAAAGCGAGAGCTTTATCTGTGTTGTTGATTTATATAATGCATTATCATATCATAAGAAAAATCAATAACGTTTTAGGAAGAAAAACCATTTTCCAGATATTTTATCCAACTTGCATAATTTTCAAGTATTTATCGTGTTGATTAACAATAAAAGAAAATATGATTGAAGAAAAATAACTTTGGAAAAAAAGTTTGAGAAAAATTGAGAATAAAAATAATACTTCACAGTTGGTTTTTAGTGGCAGAAATATATATTACTATTGGCACGTCTAGAATTTCAATAAATAATAATGAACGATAGTATTCTTCATCTATGATAAAAGTTCTGCGAGTCATCATTCAGACCACTTGAATTATTGAAAGCATTATAGATAGTTTGCCTTCTCACTGGCTGCATTATCTAATATTAAGTATCAAAGCTCCAAAAAAATCATGGCAGCTGTTGGAATACAACTTTTTTCCATATTTTTTTTCTGCTTTTTATTGGAAGAATATTGTTGAACAGTGAATGAAATAGTTTCGACAATAAATTTAATTAATAGCTTGTTGTTCAATTCTTATATTGAACTGGTTTATGTTTGAGAAAGTGGGTTAAAAAAATTATTCACCATTTTTTTTAGATTTATTTTTCTGTGGCTGTGATTCAAACCAACGTTTAAATAAATAAACATTGAGAACTTATTGTACAATCTAGAGGCAACATCCCAAAAATGGTGAGCTCAGTATGTTAATGCATGCTTTTACGATACTCTATTAGTTTCGGTCGATTTACATATCGACTAAATCTACCTACAAAAAGTAAAAATACTATCACTATTACTTGACATAACAGTGAACCATAAAATCAAAAATATTTTATATTTTTTTGAGACTAGCATGTACATGTACGTAATCTCCAATGAATATAAACGTAACACATTTATGAATATTAACATGATGGTATTGTGAATTTTATACTTGGCCATTTTTTTCTTCAGAGAAGGTGAAATGACAATCTCATTTATTCCATTATAATTCCAAAATTAATTAAGTTTCTTTTAGAAAGAATTCATAACATTTTTTTTTAATTTCATTAGACATATTATCATGTGATAGATGCTAATAAACTATATAAGTCACGTTTGCAAAGCGTAAAATATTTTGTGTTGAAAAATTTAATTTAACTCTCAGGATTAAAGCTTTTACAGCCATTTTGAAATGTACATAATTACTTTTGTTAAAATTTCATATTCATCCATTACTCTAACAAAAAAGCATTTAAGTTCGCTCTTTGAATGAATTTGTATAGGTAGGAATTCTTTTGATATATTTATAAAAGTGGTAAACATGATTTTTTAATTTTTGATGCATCATTCTTTAAAATATTTTCATTTTTTATATTTATTCTAGTTTGAGCTGTTTTGTGAGTAATTTTCATTTCAAAACCCTTCACTGAAAAAAAAAATATCTTCCAGTCGTAAAAAAAAATTTCTTTCCTGAAGTTGAACTTCATTGGCTGCATGTACTTTTTTAATTAATTACTAACTAAAAAAAATACTTGTATTATTCGAGATTAATTTCAAAGTCTTTATCTTTAATTAATAATTTCTTACAGTGTATTGTATTTTATTTCTATTGATAAAAAAAATCTTATCATTGAATCGAATTGTTTCAATATAATTAAAGAGTGGATAAAAAATAATGAATCTTCTCGAGGAATAACTAAAAAATTCCATCGAAATAAATGGAGCTTTTTTCGGAAGACTAATGCATTGTGAACGTATTAGTGAGTGTAGAAACATTGAAAATCCACATAACAGTATTGAGGACTTATTTGTACACAACATGACCTAATTAAAAAAAAAACTTCAGAAATTTTTTTCCTATTCAAACAAATATTCATTACTACGTGTGAAATAAACCTACAAGTATCAATCGTATTTTTTGTTGATTTTTTCCAGAATACAACTTCAATAGTATCTGATATGATTCATTGACGAGTTATCAATTTTTTGTTCGAAGAATATGTCATTGTTTTGATTACTTTTATACCAACTGACAGATAAATAGATTTATCCATATGAGTTTATATGGAAAATATATATCTGAGAGTGTGTATTCTGTAAATGCGAAGTTTGGAAACAACTTTTACACACAAAAATCTAATCTGATTAATTTTTACCAATGATATCTGGTTCATGTTCTCCAGTAAATAGCTTTTGGCAAAATGAAATTTATGCAACTTATGGAATGGCAATAAATGGCATACTAAACCATGAATTTATTGAAGACCAAACATTATTTTCAAATGGTAACTTATTTAATTAATTAATCAATTCCATTCACGACCACGTAAATAAAACAAAAAAGAAATTTTATTTCAATTTTATTAATTGATTCTGTTATTTAATCAATTCATTATTAAAGATGTGCGTATGTTTACTCCACTTACATTATTGATTAGAATATAATTTGTTGATGTTCTACTACCCCAGTTAAAAC